TATGCGTGACGATGCATTGTGTGCTTATTGCTGTTATGCTGTATAGTTGATGAGGTGTATGCTGATGTTGTGCTGATAGTTGTAGCTGTTCATATTTCATGTATATGTTTATATGCTAATTATTTTCACTAGCTTACCCTTTATTGTTTCCATGTGGTTTGGACTGCGATGATCATACTATGTATGAGAGCAGAGCAGGGATAGGTTGGTGGCTAGTGGTGAGTCTGCAGCTGGTAGGTAGAGCTGATTCTTGTTGATGTTTTGTTGTTTCAGCTACTTGGTGTAGTAGCTTTGGATGTATTTTTGTACATTTTGAATCTAGTCAGACTTGGACCATGTATATATGTATATTCTAGACACTATATGTATACACTTGTTCCTTTCTGTCCAGTTTTCAGGTGTACTGTGTAGTGTGTAGTGACCAGCCGGGTCGTTACATTTTGTACTTTAGGTGATATCTTTCCTTAATCTTTTTAATTACTTTGATAGGTTTCTCAAGGTAGATGAATTCTCGAGTAGGTTTCTCAAGAAAAATAGGTATCTTGTAGTGTGGGGTGCTATAAGGGTGCTTCTTAGGGTTCAAGAAGTAGTTTTTTTTTATTTGTTGAAGTGTTTTGCATGTGGTTGTGTGATTTGTAAAACTTTAAAAATTTAAAAATAATAGAATTACTCAATTAAGTTGATTGGGGACTAGATGTAGGTCACTAGTAGAAGTGGTTGAACCAGTATAAAATGTTGTACAAGCTTCTCTTACCCTTTAACTTGAATATACTTTCTTGTTAATATGATTACAAGCTTGTTAGTATTTTTTTTGTATCTTGAATATTGCATGTAGGGTAATTAAAATCTAACTTGCATTAATAAGTATTTTTAGCAATCCATTTCACTTTGGATAAAAATCAATTGGTTCAATTGGAAAGTCTTTAGAAAAGTTTGTTCAAGAAAGTTAAGGAGAATTATTAAAATCCAATTCACCCCCTCGTAGATCAATCATCTTTTCTAACACTCAAGACAATTCTCCCCCCTCACGTCTGACACTAATCCAAACAGATTCAATTATCTTATCTCACATCAGACATCATTCAAACTATGTTTGGTGCCGATTCAACTCGATACATCAGATGCCACCAATCCTACGACTGGCATCAGTTAGATATAATGTCTTTAATTGAACCACGTCCAACACGATGAAGGCACACCTAACATGACAATGACGTCTGCACTCTACACATCACAAATTTGACTCAAACCACCTAAAAAACAGAAAAATCCAACATGCAATGCACTACAATATATTTATACACAGTCAACAACTTGAATCAACTCAAAACAACAACATGCATTCACAAATCATTGCAAGTTATCAATTTTGCTCAATTCATTCAAGAGAACACCAGCCCCCAATCTCAACATTCAATCTACACCAAATCAACCAACACAACTACAAATTCCATGAATTCCAATAACATTCAACTTCATGAATCAACAACTAAACAGTTTCTAGCTTTCCTTACCTCCAAGTCTCACAATCCAAGAGAGATCAGAAGAGGAAGAAAAAGATGAAGCTTTTTGGGGACTCCACACAACACTACACTCACTCCAATTTCTTAGCTATGAAGTTTCAGAACACTACTCCAACCCTCAACAATGAGCTCCTATAACTCTTAAGAATATGGAGGAAGAAGAAGTTAGAAAAATTACAGTTCCTCTCACTGTTATCTCTTTAGGCTCCCTGAAGAAATGAACTTATATATGAAACTTATTTTTCAAAGAAAAGCCTTATATACTCTTCTCATACAAATCTAACTTGACCCTTATTCAGAGATACTTTTAAACAACTAAAAACTCGTAAAATTTTTCATAATTTTAAAATTTCTCAATAATTAGATAACAATTTGACATAATACTATTA